ATTATTCTGACATTTCACATTCTTAAAATAAAGTGGTGATCCTAACTGACCTAAGACAGGGAATTTTTACTAGGATTGTAAGGTGTATGTAAACTTCAGACTTCAACTGTATGTGTGTGTAGGAGTGAGTATATATGTGTGTGTAGGAGTGAGTATATATATGTGTGTAGGAGTGAGTATATATGTGTGTGTAGGAGTGAGAGTATATATATATATGTGTGTAGGAGTGAGTATATATGTGTGTGTAGGAGTGAGAGTATATATATATGTGTGTAGGAGTGAGTATATATATGTGTGTAGGAGTGAGTATATATGTGTGTGTAGGAGTGAGTATATATGTGTGTGTAGGAGTGAGTATATATGTGTGTGTAGGAGTGAGTATATATGTGTGTGTAGGAGTGAGTATATATGTGTGTGTAGGAGTGAGTATATATGTGTGTGTAGGAGTGAGTATATATGTGTGTGTAGGAGTGAGTATATATGTGTGTGTAGGAGTGAGTATATATGTGTGTAGGAGTGAGTATATATGTGAGTGTAGGAGTGAGTATATATATGTGTGTAGGAGTGAGTATATATATGTGTGTAGGAGTGAGTATATATGTGTGTGTAGGAGTGAGTATATATATGTGTGTAGGAGTGAGTATATATATGTGTGTAGGAGTGAGTATATATATGTGTGTAGGAGTGAGTATATATGTGTGTGTAGGAGTGAGTATATATGTGTGTAGGAGTGAGTATATATGTGTGTGTAGGAGTGAGTATATATGTGTGTGTAGGAGTGAGTATATATGTGTGTAGGAGTGAGTATATATGTGTGTGTAGGAGTGAGTATATATATGTGTGTGTAGGAGTGAGTATATATGTGTGTGTGTACCTGCTGGTTCAGTTCTAGGATCTCAGCGTCTGATGCTCCGTTTGCTCTGGTGGGCGTCACCCTGCGGTTGGGGGCAGAGTTGATCTGCCTCGGGTGGGCTTGGGCTGTCTTGGTCACCGTGGGAGATATCCTCTGGGGGCCTGGACACACAGCCAATCAGAACCAAGCCTATCAACAGCACCCAATCAACATCCCAGCCTGGACATTCAGCAGCCAACCAGATTCATCGACCCTGATACGCAATGCTGCGTTCATGTAAACAGTTTACGAGGTCAAAAACTCGTAGTTAAAGTCTTACTCCAGTCTCAATTACAATTGGAACCATGTAGGGGTCATGTCTGGAATGTGTTAGAGGCCGTCTGTTGCAATTCTCCCGGAGAATCTGATGGAGCTTGTCGGTCGACCTCCTTTGACACTAGCAAATTGCAAGCCAATCACCACAGAATGAGGGGCGTTCCCAAAGCATATTTTTGGTGACCACGTAGACAGAAAGCGCATACAGTGTTGAATTTTTATAAAAGGCAGGCAATATCATTACATTACATTTTAGTCATTTAGCAATATCATTACATTACATTTTAGTCATTTAGCAATATCATTTCATTTCTCCGAAAATGTTGTGGGTAACAGCGCAACGCTCCAGGTTAGGGGAGACTGGGGCTGTCATCCTGTTAACTCCTTAGGTTAGGGGAGACTGGGGCTGTCATCCTGTTAACTCCTTAGGTTAGGGGAGACTGGGGCTGTCATCCTGTTAACTCCTTAGGTTAGGGGAGACTGGGGCTGTCATCCTGTTAACTCCTTAGGTTAGGGGAGACTGGGGCTGTCATCCTGTTAACTCCTTAGGTTAGAGGAGACTGGGGCTGTCATCCTGTTAACTCCTTAGGTTAGGGGAGACTGGGGCTGTCATCCTGTTAACTCCTCAGTTTAGGGGAGACTGGGGCTGTGTCCTACTGTTAACACCTTAAGTTAGGGGAGACTGGGGATGGGAGTTAATACCTTTCAAACACAATGTCTTAGAAATAGTTATTTGTAAGTGTAACTTTGTATATAAGCATCCCCAACTGAGCATGAAGGCTAGCGCTTTTCAATAAATAATTGATAGCCTAGTGCCATAATTCAAGCAATAAAATAATAATATTTACTTTCACCTCCTATAAAAACACACAAATTCCCCTCACCTCAATGTTTTGATATGCTGATATGAATTTAGCAGCTGGATGACCTCTTGCAAAGTAGTCCCACATTTTGATCTTTAAATGATTGGGCTACACATCACCCTCTAGATTGGGCTTCATATCACCCTCTAGATTGGGCTTATACACCCTCTAGATGGGCTACATATCACCTCTAGATTGGGCTACATATCACCCTCTAGATTGGGCTAATATCACCCCTCTAGATTGGGCTTCATATCACCCTTAGATTGGGCTACATATCACCCTCTAGATTGGGCTACATATCACCCTTCTAGATTGGGCTACATATCACCCTCTAGATTGGGCTTCATATCACCTCTAGATTGGGCTTCATATCACCCTCTAGATTGGGCTTCATATCACCCTCTAGATTGGGGCTACATATCACCCTCTAGATTGGGCTTCATATCACCCTCTAGATGGGCTACATATCACCCTCTAGATTGGGCTTCATATCACCCTCTAGATTGGGTACATATCACCCTTAGATTGGGCTTCATATCACCCTCTAGATTGGGTTCATATCACCCTCTAGATTGGGCTTCATTCACCCTCTAGATTGGGTATTCATATCACCTTAGATTGGGCTTCATATCACCCTCTAGATTGGGCTAATATCACCCTCTAGTTGGGCTACATATCACCCTCTAGATTGGGCTACATATCACCCTCTAGATTGGGCTTCATATCACCCTTAGATTGGGCTTATATCACCCTCTAGATGGGCTCATATCACCCTTAGATTGGGCTTCATATCACCTCTAGATGGGCTACATATCACCCTCTAGATTGGGCTTCATATCACCCTCTAGATTGGGCTACATATCACCCTCTAGATTGGGCTTCATATCACCCTCTAGATTGGGCTACATATCACCCTCTAGATTGGGCTTCATATCCACCCTCTAGATTGGGCTTCATATCACCCTCTAGATTGGGCTTCATATCACCCTCTAGATTGGGCTTCAGATATCACCCTCTAGATTGGGCTTCATATCACCCTCTAGATTGGGCTACATATCACCCTCTAGATTGGGCTACATATCACCTCTAGATTGGGCTACATATCACCCTCTAGATTGGGCTACATATCACCCTCTAGATTGGGCTTCATATCACCCTCTAGATTGGGCTTCATATCACCTCTAGATTGGGCTTCATATCACCCTCTAGATTGGGCTTCATATCACCCTCTAGATTGGGCTTCATATCACCCTCTAGATTGGGCTTCATATCACCCTCTAGATTGGGATACATATCACCCTCTAGATTGGGCTACATATCACCCTCTAGATTGGGCTACATATCACCCTCTAGATTGGGCTTCATATCACCCTCTAGATTGGGCTACATATCACCCTCTAGATTGGGCTTCATATCACCCTCTAGATTGGGCTACATATCACCCTCTAGATTGGGCTTCATATCACCCTCTAGATTGGGCTACATATCACCCTCTAGATTGGGCTACATATCACCCTCTAGATTGGGCTATCACTCTAGATTGGGCTACATATCCCCTCTAGATTGGGCTTCATATCACCCTCTAGATTGGGCTACATATCACCCTCTAGATTGGGCTAAATATCACCCTCTAGATTGGGCTTCATATCACCCTCTAGATTGGGCTTCATATCACCCTCTAGATTGGGCTACATATCACCCTCTAGATTGGGCTTCATATCACCCTCTAGATTGGGTTTCATATCACCCTCTAGATTGGGCTTCATATCACCCTCTAGATTGGGCTACATATCACCCTCTAGATTGGGCTACATATCACCCTCTAGATTGGGCTTCATATCACCCTCTAGATTGGGTACATATCACCCTCTAGATTGGGCTACATATCACCCTCTAGATTGGGGCTACATATCACCTCTAGATTGGGCTTCATATCACCCTCTAGATTGGGCTTCATATCACCCTCTAGATTGGGCTTACATATCACCCTCTAGATTGGGCTTCATATCACCCTCTAGATTGGGCTTTCATATCACCCTCTAGATTGGGCTTCATATCACCCTCTAGATGGGCTACATATCACCCTCTAGATTGGGCTACATATCACCCTCTAGATTGGGCTTCATATCACCTCTAGATTGGGGCTTACATATCACCCTCTAGATTGGGCTTCATATCACCCTCTAGATTGGGTCTTCATATCACCTCTAGATTGGGCTATATCACCCTCTAGATTGGGCTACATATCACCCTCTAGATTGGGCTTACATATCACCCTCTAGATTGGGCTTCATATCACCCTCTAGATTGGGCTTCATATCACCCTCTAGATTGGGCTACATATCACCCTCTAGATTGGGCTACATATCACCTCTAGATTGGGCTACATATCACCCTCTAGATTAGGGCTTACCATCACCCTCTAGATTGGGCTTCATATCACCCTCTAGATTGGGGCTTCATATCACCCTCTAGATTGGGCTTCTATCACCCTCTAGATTGGGCTTCATATCACCCTCTAGATTGGGCTACATATCACCCTCTAGATGGGGCTTACATATCACCCTCTAGATTGGGCTACATATCCACCCTCTAGATTGGGCTTCATATCACCATCTAGATTGGGCTTACATATCACCCTCTAGATTGGGCTTCATATCACCCTCTAGATTGGGCTCATATCACACCTCTAGATTGGGCTTCATATCACCCTCTAGATTGGGCCTTTTCATATCACCCTTCTAGATTGGGGCTTACATATCACCCTCTAGATTGGGCTACATATCACCCTCTAGATTGGGCTCATATCACCCTCTAGATTGGGATACATATCACCCTCTAGATTGGGCTTACATATCACCCTCTAGATTGGGCTTCATATCACCCTCTAGAATTGGGCTTCATATCACCCTCTAGATTGGGCTACATATCACCCTCTAGATTGGGCTTCATATCACCCCTCTAGATTGGGCTACATATCACCCTCTAGATTGGGCTTCATATCACCCTCTAGATTGGGCTACATATCACCCTCTAGATTGGGCTTCATATCCCCCTCTAGATTGGGCTTCATATCACCCTCTAGATTGGGCTTCATATCACCCTCTAGATTGGGCTTCATATCACCCTCTAGATTGGGCTTCATATCACCCTCTAGATTGGGGCGCTACATATCACCCTCTAGATTGGGCTACATATCACCCTCTAGATTGGGCTACATATCACCCTCTAGATTGGGCTACATATCACCCTCTAGATTGGGCTTCATATCACCCTCTAGATTGGGCTTCATATCACCCTCTAGATTGGGCTTCATATCACCCTCTAGATTGGGCTTCATATCACCCTCTAGATTGGGCTTCATATCACCCTCTAGATTGGGCTTCATATCACCCTCTAGATTGGGTACATATCACCTCTAGTTGGGCTACATATCACCCTCTAGATTGGGCTACATATCACCCTCTAGATTGGGCTACATATCACCCTCTAGATTGGGCTTCATATCACCCTCTAGATTGGGCTACATATCACCCTCTAGATTGGGCTTCATATCACCCTCTAGATTGGGCTACATATCACCCTCTAGATTGGGCTTCATATCACCCTCTAGATTGGGCTACATATCACCCTCTAGATTGGGCTACATATCACCCTCTAGATTGGGCTACATATCACCCTCTAGATTGGGCTACATATCACCCTCTAGATTGGGCTACATATCCACCCTCTAGATTGGGCTTCATATCACCCTCTAGATTGGCTTCATATCACCCTCTAGATTGGGCTTCATATCACCCTCTAGATTGGGCTACATATCACCCTCTAGATTGGGCTTCATATCACCCTCTAGATTGGGCTTTCATATCACCCTCTAGATTGGGCTTCATATCACCCTCTAGATTGGGCTACATATCACCCTCTAGATTGGGCTTCATATCACCCTCTAGATTGGGCTACATATCACCCTCTAGATTGGGCTACATATCACCCTCTAGATTGGGCTACATATCACCCTCTAGATTGGGCTTCATATCACCCTCTAGATTGGGCTTCATATCACCCTCTAGATTGGGCTACATATCACCCTCTAGATTGGGCTTCATATCACCCTCTAGATTGGGTTTCATATCACCCTCTAGATTGGGCTTCATATCACCCTCTAGATTGGGCTACATATCACCCTCTAGATTGGGCTACATATCACCCTCTAGATTGGGCTTCATATCACCCTCTAGATTGGGCTTCATATCACCCTCTAGATTGGGCTACATATCACCCTCTAGATTGGGCTTCATATCACCCTCTAGATTGGGTTTCATATCACCCTCTAGATTGGGCTTCATATCACCCTCTAGATTGGGCTACATATCACCCTCTAGATTGGGCTACATATCACCCTCTAGATTGGGCTTCATATCACCCTCTAGATTGGGCTTCATATCACCCTCTAGATTGGGCTACATATCACCCTCTAGATTGGGCTACATATCACCCTCTAGATTGGGCTACATATCACCCTCTAGATTGGGCTACATATCACCCTCTAGATTGGGCTTCATATCACCCTCTAGATTGGGCTTCATATCACCCTCTAGATTGGGCTTCATATCACCCTCTAGATTGGGCTTCATATCACCCTCTAGATTGGGCTTCATATCACCCTCTAGATTGGGCTTCATATCACCCTCTAGATTGGGCTACATATCACCCTCTAGATTGGGCTACATATCACCCTCTAGATTGGGCTACATATCACCCTCTAGATTGGGCTTCATATCACCCTCTAGATTGGGCTACATATCACCCTCTAGATTGGGCTACATATCACCCTCTAGATTGGGCTACATATCACCCTCTAGATTGGGCTACATATCACCCTCTAGATTGGGCTACATATCACCCTCTAGATTGGGCTACATATCACCCTCTAGATTGGGCTACATATCACCCTCTAGATTGGGCTACATATCACCCTCTAGATTGGGCTACATATCACCCTCTAGATGGGCTAATATCACCCTCCTAGATTGGGCTACATATCACCCTCTAGATTGGGCTTCATATCACCCTCTAGATTGGGCTTCATATCACCCTCTAGATTGGGCTACATATCACCCTCTAGATTGGGCTTCATATCACCCTCTAGATTGGGTTTCATATCACCCTCTAGATTGGGCTTCATATCACCCTCTAGATTGGGCTACATATCACCCTCTAGATTGGGCTACATATCACCCTCTAGATTGGGCTTCATATCACCCTCTAGATTGGGCTACATATCACCCTCTAGATTGGGCTACATATCACCCTCTAGATTGGGCTACATATCACCCTCTAGATTGGGCTTCATATCACCCTCTAGATTGGGCTTCATATCACCCTCTAGATTGGGCTACATATCACCCTCTAGATTGGGCTTCATATCACCCTCTAGATTGGGTTTCATATCACCCTCTAGATTGGGCTTCATATCACCCTCTAGATTGGGCTACATATCACCCTCTAGATTGGGCTACATATCACCCTCTAGATTGGGCTTCATATCACCCTCTAGATTGGGCTTCATATCACCCTCTAGATTGGGAGTGACACCAACATATGGAACATCCAGCCCCGGTCTCCCCTATTCATTGTGCAGTTATTAGAGTGGTTATTGGACCATCCAGCCCCGGTCTCCCCTATTCATTGTGCAGTTATTAGAGTGGTTATTGGACCATCCAGCCCCGGTCTCCCCTATTCATTGTGCAGTTATTAGAGTGGTTATTGGACCATCCAGCCCCAGGGTTAGGGTTAGGGGTTAGGGTTAGGGTTAGGGTTAGGGTTAGGGTAAGGGTTAGGGTTAGGGTTAGGGTTAGGGTTAGGGTTAGGGTTAGGGGTTAGGGGTTTAGGGTTAGGGTTAGGGTTAGGGTTAGGGTTAGGGTTAGGGTTAGGTTAGGGGTTAGGGGTTAGGGGTTAGGGTTAGGGTTAGGTTAGGGTTAGGGTTAGGGTAAGGGTTAGGGTTAGGGTTAGGGTTAGGGTTAGGGTTAGGGGTTAGGGTAAGGGTTAGGGTTAGGGTTAGGGTTAGGGTTAGGGTAAGGGTTAGGGTTAGGGTAAGGGTTAGGGTTAGGGTTAGGGTTAGGGTTAGGGTTAGGGTAAGGGTTAGGGTTAGGGTTAGGGTTAGGGTTAGGCCTCCTTAACCCTAACCCTAACCCTAACCATTGATTAGGCTCATAAATGGATTTAATTTAAGCATTTTGTGCAATGAACAAATTATTTGCATTATTTTAAAGCATTTTCTGAACAAATATTCAAGGAGAAAAGCAATCATGCTCTTTTTTTTTATTTGACCTTAAAAAACACTATTTTACTCAAAACAATGTTTTTACCCTTTAATGTGTGTCAATTATATCATATATTATTGGGATATAATTTTTTTAAAGAAAAAGTTCCAAATTAGCTAGAGTGCGTCTTTTAAGAATTTGACTTGAGCTTTCTGTGAGTTTCTGACACAGAAATAGAATCACCTAGAACATGTGAACAGCAGAAGACCCAACCCAAACAACACACAGCAAAACAACAGACGTTCCAGAACAAAGACTAATTTATACCTGAAGGTAATAACTACAACACTCAGAATTAAACCCGAACCACAGCAGACCGATGTGATGGAGAGAGCGTGAGCGCAAGGGCCGTACTTGCGAACATTAGAACATTTTAAAAATGTAATTCGTTTCTCAGTCTCAAAATGCCAATTAAAATCGTTGATTTCCTTGCACGTGATAGAACGCTAAATTGTAACTGGTCCCATCAGATAACCTGGCACACATTAGCCCTATGCTAGCCCTATGCTAGCCCTATGCTAGCCTTACCAGATTACAGTGATTATTTCCTGGAACAAATTCTGCATCAGCCAATTACAAATGTTGACATACACTATATGTACAAAAGTATGTGGACACCCCTTCAAATGAGTGGATTCGGCTATTTCAGCCACACACGTTGCTGACAAGTGTATAAAATTGAGCACACAGCCGCCATGCAATCACCATAGACAAACATTGGCAGTAGAATGGCCTTACTGAAGAGCTCCTTAACTTTCAACGTGGCACCGTCATAGGATGCCACCTTTCCAACAAGTCAGTTCGTCAAATTTCTGCCCTGCTAGAACTTCCCCGGTCAACTGTAAGTGCTGTTACTGTGAAGTGGAAACATCTAGGAGCAACAACGGCTCAGCTGCGAAGTGGTAGGCCACACAAGCTCACAGAACGGGACCGCCGAGTGCTGATGCCCGTAGCGAGTAAAAATCAACTGTCCTCAGTTGCAACACTCACTACCGAGTTCCAAACTGCCTCTGGAAGCAACGTCAGCACAAGAACTGTTCGTCGGGAGCTTCATGACATGGGTTTCCATGGCCGAGCAGCCGCACACAAGCCTAAGATCACCATGCGCAATGCCAAGCATCGGCTGGAGTGGTGTAAAGCTCAGGGACATTGGACTCTGGAGCAGGGAAACGTGTTCTCTGGAGTGATGAATCACGCTTCACCATCTGGCAGTCCGACGGACGGATCTGGGTTTGGCGGATGCCAGGAGAACGCTGCCTGCCCCAATGCATAGTGCCAACTGTTTGGTGGAGGAGGAATAAAGGTCTGGGGCTGTTTTTCAGGGTTCGGGCTCCTTAGTTCCAGTGAAGGGAAATCTTAACGCTACAGCATACAATGCCATTCTAGACGATTGTGTGCTTCCAACTTTGTGGCAACAGTTTGGGGAAGGCCTTTTCATGTTTAAGCATGACAATGCCCCCGTGCACAAAGCGAGGACCATACAGAAATGGTTTGTCAAGATCGGAATGGAAGAACTTGACCGGCCTGCACAGAGACCTGACCTCAACCCCATCAAACAGCTTTGGGATGAATTGGAACACCGACTGCGAGCCAGGCCTAATTGCCCAACATCAGTGCCCGACCTCACTAATGCTCTTGTGGCTGAATGGAAGCAAGTCCCCACAGCAATGTTCCAACATCTAGTGGAAAGCCTTCCCAGAAGAGTGGAGGCTGTTATAGCAGCAAAGGGGGGATGTTGGACCAGCAGGTGTCCACATACTGCTGGTCATGTAGTGTAGATGGAAGTGAACAAACGTTTTTCCATAAGAGCATTCTAACAATGTCAAGCACTCTCGTTATCGTCCTACAGATGGCAGTATTGCAGTAACACTCTCGTTATTGTCCTGCAGATGGCAGTATTGCAGTAACACTCTCATTATCGTCCTGAAGATGGCAGTATTGCAGTAGCACTCTCATTATCGTCCTGAAGATGGCAGTATTGCAGTAACACTCTCGTTATCGTCTTGAAGATGGCAGTATTGCAGTAACACTCTCGTTATCGTCCTGCAGATGGCAGTATTGCAGTAACAGGAATACCTATGTAAGAATGCTGTTCATTGACTATAGCTCAGCATTCAACACCATAGTACCCTCCAAGCTAATCATTAACCTTGAGGCCCTGGGTCTGAACTCCGCCCTGTGCAACTGGGTCCTGGAATTCCTGACGGGCCGCCCCCAGGTGGTGAAGGTAGGAAACAACACCTCCACTACGCTGATCCTCAACACTGGGGCCCCACAAGGGTGCGTGCTCAGCCACCTCCTGTACTCCAAGTTCACCCATGACTGCGTCACCAAGTACGCCTCCAACTCAATCATCAAGTTTGCAGACGACACAACAGTAGTAGGCCTGATTACCAACAATGACGAGACCGCCTACAGGGAGCAGGTGAGGGCTCTGGGAGTGTGGTGCCAGGACAATAACCTCTCACTCAACGTCAACAAAACAAAGGAGCTGATCGTGGACTTCAGGAAACAGCAAAGGGAACACCCCCCTATCCACATTGACGGGACCGCAGTGGAGAAGGTGAAAAGCTTCAAGTTCCTCGGCGTACACATCACTGACAAACTGAAATGGTCCACCCACGCAGACAGTGTAGTGAAGAAGGCGCAACAGCAAGTACCCTGCCCTGAACTTCGTCACTGTCACTAGCCGGCTACCACCCTGTTACTCAACCCTGTACCTTAGAGGCTGCTGCCCTGTTACTCAACCTTGCTCCTTAGAGGCTACCACCCTGCACCTTAGAGGCTACCACCCTGTTACTCAACCCTGTACCTTAGAGGCTACCACCCTGTTACTCAACCCTGTACCTTAGAGGCTACCACCCTGTTACTCAACCCTGTACCTTAGAGGCTACCACCCTGTTACTCAACCCTGTACCTTAGAGGCTACCACCCTGTTACTCAACCCTGTACCTTAGAGGCTACCGCCCTGTTACTCAACCCTGTACCTTAGAGGCTACCACCCTGTTACTCAACCCTGTACCTTAGAGGCTACTGCCCTGTTACTCAACCCTGTACCTTAGAGGCTACTGCCCTGTTACTCAACCCTGTACCTTAGAGGCTACCACCCTGTTACTCAACCCTGTACCTTAGAGGCTACCACCCTGTACCTTAGAGGCTACCACCCTGTTACTCAACCCTGTACCTTAGAGGCTATTATATATATATTATATTATATATAATCAGTTATTAGAGTGGTTATTGGAACATCCAGCCCCGGTCTCCCCTATTCATTGTGCAGTTATTAGAGTGGTTATTGGACCATCCAGCCCCGGTCTCCCCTATTCATTGTGCAGTTATTAGAGTGGTTATTGGAACATCCAGCCCCGGTCTCCCCTATTCATTGTGCAGTTATTAGAGTGGTTATTGGACCATCCAGACCCGGTCTCCCCTAGTCATTGTGCAGTTATTAGAGTGGTTATTAGACCATCCAGCCCCGGTCTCCCCTATTCATTGTGCAGTTATTAGAGTGGTTATTGGAACATCCAGCCCCGGTCTCCCCTATTCATTGTGCAGTTATTAGAGTGGTTATTGGACCATCCAGCCCCGGTCTCCCCTAGTCATTGTGCAGTTATTAGAGTGGTTATTGGAACATCCAGCCCCGGTCTCCCCTACTCATTGTGCAGTTATTAGAGTGGTTATTAGAACATCCAGCCCCGGTCTCCCCTATTCATTGTGCAGTTATTAGAGTGGTTATTGGAACATCCAGCCCCGGTCTCCCCTAGTCATTGTGCAGTTATTAGAGTGGTTATTGGAACATCCAGCCCCGGTCTCCCCTAGTCATTGTGCTGGTTATTAGAGTGGTTATTAGAACATCCAGCCCCGGTCTCCCCTATTCATTGTGCTGGTTATTAGAGTGGTTATTGGAACATCCAGCCCCGGTCTCCCCTACTCATTGTGCTGGTTATTAGAGTGGTTATTAGAACATCCAGCCCCGGTCTCCCCTATTCATTGTGCTGGTTATTAGAGTGGTTATTAGAACATCCAGCCCCGGTCTCCCCTATTCATTGTGCTGGTTATTAGAGTGGTTATTGGAACATCCAGCCCCGGTCTCCCCTATTCATTGTGCAGTTATTAGAGTGGTTATTGGAACATCCAGCCCCGGTCTCCCCTATTCATTGTGCTGGTTATTAGAGTGGTTATTGGAACATCCAGCCCCGGTCTCCCCTATTCATTGTGCAGTTATTAGAGTGGTTATTGGAACATCCAGCCCCGGTCTCCCCTATT